AGTGCTTTTATTCCTTTATAATGTATCCTTTCTTTAAAAAGTTTGGGACACCTTTCAATGATAACATTAATTTTTTAAGCATCTATACAATTAAGTTATATTATAATGAGCATCAATTTACTTTGCAAAGAACTTCAACTTATATATGATTTGATTCCTGCACATTCCTCCTCTTTTATTATTAATTTTGTGCAAATTCCAGGTGTGAATTCATTTATTCATAGTATTTAATATGTTTAAACGGTTTAGGCCTCTTTTGAAAAAAATCCATCATCATCCTTCATATCAACAGTAATTCCTTAATATCAGTAAATATCCAGCCACATTTTCCAACTTTCAATTTTCTCATAAATACTACTTATTTTTTTGTAATTTTGAATTTAGATAAGTCTCAAGTATGTTTTTCATCTACAGTTCTCTTTCTACAATCTTTTTTCTTTCAATTTTATTCATTGGAATTATTAATTTATTTCATATCAACAACTTGCTTCAGTCTGTTTTGCTGATTACAGCCTTGTGGTAGTGTTCACTTTTCTCTAGTTTCTTTTCTCAGTTTAGTAGTTAGCTCTATGAGACTCTATCAGATTGAAATGACTTTTTGGGCATGAATGTTTCATGGTTCATGATGTGTTCTTCTATTAGGTATTCATAATGTCTGGTTTTCTCCCTTTTTGTGATTCTATCAGCTGCTGATGATCAATGGATTAATTCATGATAATTTTGATTCTGATATGATGAATTGTTCTTGTAGAATTACCAACAGTTAGGGGAAGAGGAAATGCTGCTTGAAGCACGTTCAAAAGTTTAGAAGAAATAGTATTAAATGCCAAAATATTTTCTTAACTAGAGAGAAACCTAGTAAGAAAAAAAAAGGAAGAAAATATGTTGGCTTTTATCACTTTTTATTTTCCTGAGCTTTTTTTCTTGATGAGAGGTTGTGTTGTGGAATTGCCAGCCAGGTCTTTGTCATGAAACAGTTTCCAGTTTGTGTTCCGTGGTATTGGACAAGTGGTCTTGAATAAGTTAGTATCACTGAGCCTCTCAGTTTTCTAGCTGTTAAATGATCATACAATGAATGCATGCACATAACAACCTTAGACTTTTCTTCTGCTCCAGTTCCCAACATATAAGTAAATATACTATGTGTTTTGGCATATTTTGATGAATTTATATTATCTTTTGACTCTACAAGTTCTTCTGATGTAAGGGAGAAATGTGATATTAATCCTATTCTTGTGCAGACAATAAAAATTTATGTTGTTTAGGAGAAGTAGGAAGAGGAAATACTATACCTTGCACTGAGCGATTTTTCTCCCCAGAATTGTTGTGGGAAATGCCAGAAATAGAGACATTGCTCACATATTTATCTGCATATGTCTGGATTCAATCAGTTTGTCAACATCTTTGCTGTTTTTGATGTCAGGCTTCTCAGTGACTGTGGAGCCTACAGTTCCATGAAAATCTGATAATGGAGCAGAGGACTGTGGTCTGGGGAGTTCATTGTTTATAGTTTCTAAGAGCTGGAGGAAAGGAAAGATTGGATCTGAATATTGTGTAAATTCTGTTTACAGAATTTGCAGTTTGTGGAACACCTTCACAACTTGTGTCTTGTCATTTAAAGCAACCTTGTAAAGTAGTTGTTGCAAAGTCTGTATTGTGTTTCAAATTATAGTTTAACCAACTCACATACTGACTGGCTTTTGGCTATTACTGACAATTCTATATAAAGCTTCAAACAAGGAAGAGACATTCTTTTCACCTCTCCCTGTCTACCCATACAACTTTCATGATTCATTCCTGTGTTGTAACTTGTTGCTCTTTTCCTTTAAAGTTTCTTTTACCATCTGCTTATTTCCTCCCCACTCCACTTCCTTGACTGTGCATTCTAGTCCTTTCTTTCATATTTTTTAATGAATAAATCTCCTTTTTGCCACTATCCCTCAGACATTCTCCTCATGGAAAATTTTCTTACAGTTTTTTTCTCATTTGCCAAGTGTACACTACAGTACTATATGTACAGTAAGAAGTTATTTTCAGAGCTTAGATAATCCTTTGTGTATATATGATTCAGATCTTAAAGGAGGTTATTTTCTATACAGTTCAGATGAGAAGTTGATTTTTGTTTCATTGTTTCCATTTTTAAAAAAAGTTTTTGCCAGGAAGTTCTGCTAATAAGTCTTATTTGCTCTGGTGTACTAGTCTAGTAGTGTTTGCATGTAGATGTCTGTGGATGACAGTTATTGTAGCACTTTGGAAGTGCACTAAAAATGTGCCACTATCAAATGTTTCTATATTGTGTGTGTGCTAGTACACGCACGCGTGCACACAAACACACATACATTTTATAAGTGGTTGTATTCATTTAGTGAAAAAGTAGACATACTTTAAAAAAAAACTTGGAGAAATGCTTGGAATTTCATTGTGTTCACCCATTCAAAGTTTTCTCTCTTTGCTTTGGAAATATTTGTACTCATAAGAGATATTTCAAAAATGTTATTCATTAAAACCTCTTAAATAACCACTATTTTTCATGTCTAGCAAATGAGTATGTCAAGGACTAAGATTAATACACAAATAATAAAAGTCAAATAAATTGTTAAACATGAAGAAAATTTAATGCTGTGACTACATTTTTTAACTCCCTAAATCAACTTCCTTCTAAAAATTCATAATTATATTCTTTCCTATTTATTCCTTGAATTTTCAAAGATTAAATGCTACTTTTATTTTTTAAATAATTTGCTTTTTAAAAAATTTTTAGTTGTAGATGGACATAATAGCTTTGTTAATTTATCTTTATGTGGTGCTGAGGCTCAAACCCAGTGCCTTACACATACTAGGCGAGTACGCTACCACTGAGCCACAACATCAGCCCTGTAAATGCTACTTTTCTTAAAGATAATAAATTTTATTTGTACATGGGTTTTATTGAAGAAATTTGTTCAAATTGTTTATCTTGGTTTACAGAGTGGTGCAGACCAGCAATCAAAGCTGCTTGGGAGGCTGAGGCAGGACAGCAAGTTTGAGGCCAGCCTAAGCAACTTAGCCAGACCCTGTGTCAAAATAAATATGAAGAGGCCTGGGAGTATAGATGAATGGTAGAGAGCCCCTGGGTTTATCCCTCATACCCTCAAAAACCAAAATTAACAAACCAACGATTTATCTTTCAACACCCTTTTCTAGAAAAATACAGAAAACAACTTTGTGCTCTCAAGGTAAGACATTTAATATCTGTTGTTGGTGGCATGAAGCTGCCAATACTTCTTTTGATTTTGGTGTAGGTTTTAATATTAACTTCTTTTCTTTTTGCTTCTTTTCAAGCACTGGTTTATTAAAAATTCTTTGCAGTTTAAAAAACAGTTATATGATAGCTTAAAAATAAGTCTGTTTCTGAGGGTTGTTTTTATCATGTTGGTTGTGAGTTTAAAAATATATTTGCCTTAGTGACCTTACCAATTAGTATAATTAATATAACAAAATGATTTGAGTAGTAAGCATGAATCATGTATAGACTATGAAATTTATTTGTCTCTGTGATCTAAACTACTTATGTTCCTATCCAGGAAAAAGATAAGAAGGTAATTTGTAAGCTACAGATTCACATAAATAAATCTTTACTGAACTTAATTGTGCAAAATACAACATTACATTGAGGCTTCTATGAGAACAGTAATATAAAACCATGATTTTTGATGAAATTGCAATTGATAAGAGGACATAGAAAAATAATGTTAAACAGTTGAAGAAAAAAAGTTTAAATTGGTACCAAAATGATGAAAAGTTGGAAAAAACAAAAGAATAATATGTTGTTTATTGTGAACACAGATGAGTCAATGAATGTTTTAACGGAGGAGTCATATCATGAAAATTTTGTTTTAGAAAGGAAGATTTAATGAAATTGTACAATGAGGATTATTGGGAAGGCTGGAATGAGAGAGTAAAATGGCTTTTGTAGCAATTGACTTGTGATATGATGAAGAATGAAGCCAGGATTGCAGTAGTGTCAGTGGAATTGAAAAGGAAGGCACAGATTTTTTATACATCTACAATACTTGAAGAGGGATATTACTTGGTGCTCATTAGGGAAATAGATAGATAGGTAAGTAGATAAGTAGAGATGAGAGAGAAAGCAGGACTGATAACTTAGGTTTCCATGGAGGTTATATAATCATATTTTTACTAATATAAGTAGAGAAATAAGGAAGAGTCTTTTTGTTCATAAGTATATAAAGATGGTGGATTCAGTTAAATAATAATTGATAAAGCATAATTATCCTTCATAAGCTACCAATATTGTGATTTATTCACTTTTTAGAAGACAGCATATGATCAGTTCCTCTTTCTTGACATCCTCAGGCACACCCAGAATTATATACACATTTCTGGTCCTCTCATTTCCTTTTAAATTACCAGAGGCCTCTTCATCTTGTCATCAATGATCTAAATCTGCACTGACCAATATGGCACTTACTTGTCATTTGGGCTGTTAAACACTTGAAGTATGGCTAGTGGGAATGAGGGACAGAATTCTTAATTTAATTAATATAAATTTTAGTTTTAAAACTGCAACAAAATAAAACATTTTTCTGTTAAACATAACTCTATTGTTTGATAGGATTAAATTTTACTTTAGCCATATAAAATTTGGCATACAAATTGAGATGTACCATGAAATTAAAATAACAACCAGATTTTAAAGGCATAGTACAAGAAGTTAAAGTATCTCATTAGGATTTTAATACTGATTACATGATGAATAATATTTTGCTTAAAGAAAACACTAAAATTAGTTTCTTTTAACTTTTTAAATGTGGCTACTAGAAAATTTAAAATTAAACAAATGGCTCTTATCTTTATTTAAAAAAACAAAATTATATAAGTTTATATACTTATATAAGTATAAACTTAAAAGTATAAACATTCTTTATATGTTTATTGGACCACACTTCTCTGGTTTTAACATTCCTTCCTCAGACTATGCTATCTCTCATATCTGTTGAGAACTTTTTCCTTTACATAATAGAATAGTGGCTATTCTATTATGTTTAAGACAAAATCCCCCACAAAGATATGTATGATAAAGGGACGCTTATAATTCTTCATGTAAAGCATTCTAGGACTGAATTTTACCTGTATTTGTTTCAGTTGGAGCAGGTAACTAGGATTGTGAAAAGACCAATATCCCCTGATCTTTGGAGAAACGGATTTCTTGGAGCTCCTTACTCATAATCTCTTTTGCCACTAGAGAGAATAATGAGCCAAGTAATGCCAGGAGAACCTAATCATAAGAACTCTTACCATAGTCATTTCTATTTTGTATTTTCCATTCACTGAGACAAATCTAGATGGAAGGTAACAAAAAAAGTGAAAAATTAATGAATAAGTGCAAATAACTCTCCAGGAATTACACTATATTTGTACATTTGATAGGAATTCTACATCAGCAACTAAAATTATTCCTCATTCTTGTTAATTGCTTATATTTGAAAATATACAAAATCCTCTAAGCTATCAATATTTCTAAAAAAAATATCTTAGTTCAGTATTTAAAAATAAAACAAAACGCTTGTAACCCCAGTGGTTTGGGAGGCTGAGGCAGGAGAATCGCCAGTTCAAAGCCAGCCTCAGCAAAAGTGAGGTGTTACGCAACTCACTGAGACCCTGTCTCTAAATAAAATACAAAATAGGGGTGGCAATGTGGCTCAGTGGTCAAGTTTTCCTGAGTTCAATTCCTGGTACCCTCCCCCAATAAAACTTTAAGGGAAACCTAAAAACACCAACAATCTTCAAGTCCATTAAGACCATTTTAAAAAATATTTGTCTAATAAGTCACTAATCAGCAGTTATTTATTGAGTACCTTATATATGAGATACTGTGAGATAGTATGCATAAGTACAATTCATTATCCCATTAAATATATATATATATATTGAGAGTATATTATATGATGGTTATTGTCCTTATGTTCAAATATAGATCTACATGGAAAATTATTAAAACCAATGTATAACAGAGTTCTAGTGTGTATATCACTGATTTTCCAGAATAAGGAGTATAGATTTCTGTGTGTCGATACAAATTTGATAAGAGGAAAGAAATACACAGAATATCAAAAATTTTATTTCATCAAAATCTGAAATTTCACTTAAGCTATAAATATTTGAACAAAAGTGTTCAAAACTGAAATTTCGACAGGCTTCTGAGAATTAGGTTTGATTAAACTGCAGTAGAGCATTGAAAAACAATTATGAAATGGGCTTTATTTTAATTTTTTTCTGAATTGCAGTCTTTTATTTAATGAATTTTCTACCTAAATGTGATCCTAGAACATTTATACTCACACCTCTCATTTAAGGAATTATAAATGTCATAAAGCCTACATTTTGTATGTGAAATTCATTATGTCCTTATAAAATATGACTGCTAAATTTACTACTATGGAAAAATAATGACAGTACTTTGAAGATAATCTTAAAATCTATACACACTAGCTATAAGAAAGGAGGCAAAACTTTCTTTACTATGCAATTTTAATTTATTCTTTTTGGATATACATCACAGTATAATTTATTTTTATAAAATCATACAAGCATGGAATATGTCTTATTCTGATTAGGACTTCATACTTGTACACAATGAAGGGATTCACTTAGGTATTTTCATGTATGTTCTTAGGAGAATTATATTAGATTCATTCTATTGTCTTTCCTATTGTTATCCCTGCTCCCTTCCCTTCATTCCCCTTCATCTATTCTACTGAACAACTCCTCTCCTTTATTGTGCTATAGCTTCCACATATCAGCAAAACATTTGACCTTTGGTTCATTGGGGATTGACTTATTTCACTTAGCATGATAGTCTCCAGATCCATCTATTTACTGGCAAATATTTAATAAGCAATTTTAAATATCCCACATGTAAATCTATCACAAAAGTAACAAAATTAACAGAATTTCAAATCTCATTTCTTTATAGCATTATATCAAAATGAAGCCATTTACTTTTTTTCTTTTTAAAGTTTTATTTTTTATTTGTTCTTTTTAGGTATCCATGACAGTAAAATCCATTTTGATGCATTTATACAAGAATGGAGTATGTCTTATTTTAATTAGGATCCCAGTCTTGTGGATATACATGATGGTGAGATTCACTATGGTGTATTCATATATGTACATAAGAAAGTTATGTCCGATTCATTTCATTGTCTTTCCTATTCCTATCTCCCCCTCCTTTCCCTTCGTTTAGTTTAAACAAGACTAACTTTGCTCTTCAGTTTACAAAATAGAGGAGGAAGATAATTTCATGATGACATTTGGCTCATGTGACAGAAGGAAACTGGCCACACATGTGTTTGGAAATCATCTAGAAGAGAAAGCCCTAAAGGAAATTCCAGTGAATGGAGCAGCCACAGTTCATCCCAGGTTAGTTTCAGCTTTAGTACAGCCACAGTGAGTACTTTCCTGTTGAAAGTGCCAACATTAGTTAGTTAATACCAACTCAAATCAAGTCTTAGCACTTGCAAGTTGTAAGAAGATTTAGCATTTTTTTCCCTTAAATTCACATGCTATTATTTTGCACTTCTTGGAGCTCATTATTAATTTTTATTATAATTTAGCAGGAATTTCATCAATTTTCATATTTTATAATAATAGAAAAACTTAAATATTTTATAGCCATTTAAAAATCCTTTTCACTAAATCTTTTTTTTTTATGGCATAAGCACATTTTCCTGTGTTATCTGAGTATGTCTCAATCATCTCTATATGTTGGAAGAAATAAAATCAGGGCTTTGTTAACATTATTTAGTTCAAATTTTTAATTATAGCTTTGGAATGTTGGCTACTTTGAAAAAGGTGTCAGTTAAGAAAACTTCCGCCAATATTCACAGATCAATGCTAGAACTCCTGAAAAATAATGAATGAGGAATGAGAAATTTGGTAAGTTACAAAAAAGTGTATGATTTTGTGGTTTTAAAATTATCTCTTTATATTTATCAAGTTTGTTACTAAATATAATCTTAAATATTGAATAAAGACATAGAAGACTTTTATTTATTTATTTATTTATTTATTTTTGTGGTGCTGGGGATTAGAACCCAGGGCCTTGTGTATGCAAGATAGGCACTCTATCAACTGAGCTGTATCCCCAACCTGTAGAAGACTTTTAATTTCCATGTATTACAAAGTCATCGACTGGAACTTTAAAAAAATTAGCTACTGGGTATTATGTTTTATTTTTATAAAAGCCATTATATATATATGTATATATATATATACACATATATATATACATGCACACACACACACATGTAATATATATGTATATGTATATATATATACAATGTAATATATAATATTGCAATATAATATACAATATTGTATATATACATACATATATATATATATGTATATATATATATATATATATATATATATATATATATATATATATATATATATATATATATATATTTGTGTGTGTGTGTGTTGCTGAGGATTGAACCCAGGATCTTTTGCATGCAAGGCAAATACTCTACCAAATAAGCCAGTGCTCCTTGTGTGTACAATGAATCAAAGAGCATATTCTGCTGTCATGTATATCTGATTAGAACAAATAAATAAATAAACAAAATTTTAAAAAGGCATTTGATAGCATTTCAACTGTGAAATCCAAATATAAAATATATAATCCTTGAATATTATACTTCATATTTTATTTAGAAAGTGATGCTATTATTCATAATATATTCTTTAACCACAACAAAAATATTTCACAATGATGAAATATGTGGATTTCAGCCAATTAACTTTCCATTCATATGTTCCTTAGAAGACAGTATAAAAAAGCATTATGAATTTTTCTCAAAGTTTGGAAAAAGGATATAGTATGGGATGGGGATATAGCTCAGTGGTAGAGCACTTGCTTAATATGTACTAGGCTCTGTGTTTGAGCCCTAACACTACAAAAAAAAGATAATTTTACAATAACACCAAATTTTTAATTTTCATTTAATTTTTATATTTTTGTGTGGGAATCAATGGTTCTTTTAATTTAAAAGGTAATGTAAATACCTCCCTTTGTAGAGGAATCTGATCCAATAGGATTTTTTTTACTCTGATCAACAGCATCTGGACAGAAAGAATAGAGGCATTTTTTGAATATTCTCTAGAATTTTGCTAGTACACTTAACAATATAAAGATATCAAATAAGGGCTGGGGTTGTGGCTTAGAAGTAGAGCACTCGCCTACCATGTGTGAAGTCCTGGGTTCAGTCTTCAGCACCACATAAAATAAATGAATAAAATAAAGGTATCGTATCCAACTACAACTAAAAATAAATATTAAAAATATATCAAATAAAAATATTGAAGTATTATTTATTGTCCTAATACTAGCTGCATAAGCAATCCATCAGAATACATTATAACACAGTAAAGACATAAATTTACTTAATTTAGTTCCTTCATATGAAATGCCAAAATATAGTCAAATTAGATGTTTATGATTTTACTTGATATTCCAAACAAATGGAGCTTGAAAAGAAATGTTCTTTAGAGTTTTTTCTTTTCCAATTACAGTGGATATTTGATTAAGATTATTAAAACCAGTAACTTACTTTTAAAATTTCCTCCTTCCCTCTTAATAATAATAAAATAATAATAATAATAATAATTTTAATAATAATAATTATTATTATTATTTTATGGGAAAGGCAGTCTCATGCCCACAGTCTTTTTGACTCCCACAAATGCGTGTAAGTACGGACCTTGGGCCTAGAAAACTTCCTTACTAAGGGATAAATTGTTGAGAGCCACAGCCGAAGGGGCCCCAGCAAACTTCCAGCTGCCGGCTGATGATTGGCTCACAGCGGCCCCAGCAACATCTAGCTGATTGGCTCCTCTGCGGCATTGTGGGCAAATACCTGGTATTCTACTCCTTTGATACCTAGTTTTGTTAAACCCTCCTCCAATGGGGCAATTCCTTTTAAAATGTCCTGTTTGTTCACAATTGTAGCATGTTCTTGGCCTGGCATCTAAAGCCTGTTTTACTGCAGCTGCCACAATTTGCCCTTGTTCATTAATGTCTCTGGCATCTAAAGCCTGTTTTACTGCAGCTGCCACGACTTGCTCTTGTTCATTAATGTCTCTACATAATTTAATATATGTGTTTAAATCTTCATGTTTCCATGGTCTAATGATATCTCTGCACCAACGATTCGCTTGCTCATAAGCCAGGTGTTTTAGTAATGGCATTGCTTGTTCTGTATTCCCAAAAACTCTGGTAGCTGTTTGAATAAGCCTATCTACAAATTCAGCATAAGGTTCATTAGCTCCTTGTATTACCTTAGATAATTGACCTTGTAAACCTCCATGTCCTTGTAAAGTCTTCCATGCCTTAATTGCATCTACAGCAATTTGTGCATATACACCAGGATCATATGCAATTTGTTGCTGCTGATCCTCATAAGGTCCCTTTCCTAACAACATATCTAGATTTCTCTGAGGATAACCAGCTGCTGCATTTCGCCTAGCCGTCTCCTTGCAAAATTCCTCATTGGCAACCTTCCATAACAGGTATTGTCCTCCATTTAGCACAGCTTTACACATATTAGCCCAATCTGCTGGCGTCATGTTCAAGTTGTTAATGGATTTGACCATGCTTACAGTGAAGGGTGCTTGAGGACCATAGGTTGTTACAGCCTCTTTTAGCTGCTTCACTGTTTTGAAATTTAAAACTTGGTAAAATCGCTGCCCTCCTGCCTCAAATACAGGGCATGTTAATATTTGAGATCTTGTCTCAGGATCCGAACTATCAACTGCGGGGGTTGGGGACCTCCCAGCATATGGAGGTGGCCTTGTTAGTTGGACACTTACGTCCTCTGGTGATAGAAAGGTGTTAGTAGCAGTCTCCTGTTGTAACTTTCCCCCTGATGGCTTTTTCTGTTTTACACTTTCTTTCTCTGTCTGACTAGCTTGAGACGCCTTCTCTTTTACTTGAATCTTTTCCTCTGTCTGACTAACTTGAGAGACCTTCTCTTTTACTTGAATCATTATGTCTTCTTCTTCCTCTACCATTGTCTGAACTGAAGGCTTTGGACTAAGCAAACAAGATATGAACGTCCACAATGGCAATGTGCCAACTGGCAGAGTCCCTGAGCTTTTCTTTTCTATTCTTTTTAAATCTTCACCATGATGGTTCCATTGTGATATATTTAACAACTCCTCCTTAAAAAGCCATGGGCTGCATTTTTGTATTGTATCAACGTATGCCCTAACTGTTCTTGATTTTAGTGAGATGCCTCCTTCCTCTAACAATTTACTTAACACTCTTTCAGTTTGTTTTTTACTAATTTCTGATCCCGTATTTCTACTATAATACAACCCAACAAGATAACGCCTAACAAAACTGAAACAGAGTGAAACAAAATTGGAACAACACAAAATCATTATAATAGCCTCCTGAAATATCCATCCGTCCTTTCTCCCTATCTGTTCCTCAGATGTGAGCGGTTTTTCTTCCATCTTACACATCTCCAGGGACAGGCAACTTAAAACAAAAGTGAAACAAAATAACAAAAGAGGAATCTTAAAATGGCTACCCATCCTCTCGCCCTGCCCTCAGGGGCGAGCAGTTCACTTACCCTCAGTCGCTCCCCGTGCGAGCCACCAAATGCCGCAGAGGAGCCAATCAGCTAGATGTTGCTGGGGCCGCTGTGAGCCAATCATCAGCCGGCAGCTGGAAGTTTGCTGGGGCCCCTTCGGCTGTGGCTCTCAACAATTTATCCCTTAGTAAGGAAGTTTTCTAGGCCCAAGGTCCGTACTTACACGCATTTGTGGGAGTCAAAAAGACTGTGGGCATGAGACTGCCTTTCCCATAAAATAATAATAATAATTATTATTATTATTAAAATTATTATTATTATTATTATTATTTTATTATTATTAAGAGGGAAGGAGGAAATTTTAAAAGTTACTGGTTTTAATAATCTTAATCAAATATCCACTGTAATTGGAAAAGAAAAAACTCTAAAGAACATTTCTTTTCAAGCTAGGCTTATCACATGTGTGATAATTCCTTTCTCTGTTGTAGCTTAATGTGTCTCTTTGATCTTTTGAAGTGTGTGGATCACATGGCACCTGCAGATAGTGATATCGTATCTGTCTTTCCTGGGAAAGGGATGAAGTCCTTTCTCTACAGCAGGTGAGAAGTGTGCTGTAGGCAAATTGTCCTGTCAGCTGCCAGAAGAGACTGGTAGCCATGTGAAACCCACACACATGATTGAAGCCAAACTCTTTGTCTCTTCTCTGTGTAAGTAAAGCATTACTCCATCCAATACTTGACTATATTGTGCTTTCCTTGTTAACTCTAATACCAATATGTAATGTACATAAGTGTTGGGAATCCTCCCCTGGGATTAGTAACTTGTGCATGGTATTTTGCACAACATCATTATTATTTCTGATAAGAACACTTAACAGATGACCTGTTTTCTTAGAAAAATTTAAGAATATAATATAGTATTATTTACTATAGGCCTTTTGCTGTACAATAGATCTCTAGTACTTATTTACCCTGTATAAGTGAAAATTTGTACCCTTGGATACTACTTCTTTTCCTCTTCTCTGTAAAAATGCAATTATACTCTCTGCTTCTATGAGTTTAAATTTTCCATAAGTGATATCACATAGTATTTCTGAATTACTTTATTTGTGACTTATTGAATTTAGCATCATGTCCTCCAGTTTCATTCTGTTTTCACAAATAGCAGAATTTTGCTTTTCTTAAAGGTTAAATGATATTCCTTTGTTTATGTATACCACATTAACTCTATCATTTCATCTATCTATAGACATTTATATTGTCTCCACGTCTTGGCCCTTTGAATAATGTTGCAATGTACATGGGAGTGTAGGTATCTCTTTAGGTTCCTGATTTAAATTCCTCTGAACATACACCTGGAAGTGATATTGCTTGATCATATGATAACTCTATTTTAATTTTTTTGAGGATCCTTCATACTGCTTTCCATCCCTGATGATTAATGTTGTTGAACACCTTTTCATATCTTTTGACCATCTATATACCTTTTTTGAACAACATCTGTTCACTTCATTTGCCATTTTTAAATTGGATTTCTATGTTCATGGAGGGTAGTGGAAGTTCTGGGGATTGATTCTAAGCCTTGTGTATGATAGATAAGTGTTCCACCACTGAGCTATATTGGAAGCTCTTTTAATATTTATTTATTTATTTTTTTTAGTTTTCAGCAGACACAACACCTTTGTAAAA